ATACTCAGCAAGTATTGGTTGGTAATTAGCTCGGAGGATATGCGCTACTCCCTCAATTGTTCGCCAAATGTGTCCTGATGTGTTCGACCGTGTTTGACATCCCTAAAAGATAATGTTCAATGTAGCTAGCCAGTTGAAACGGATTAATTGCACTGATAACTTATTATATTTTTGAAAATATTTCTTTCTGTGCTTTTCATTTAATTAAAAACATATATATTGTATATTTTTGCATATTTTTATATTATTTCCTAATATTTTGACACTTAATCTAACATAAATGAAATTTAATAAATATTTAAAACTATACAATTATAAATTATAATTACATATTTTTAAATATTTAAATTTCATTTATGTTAGATTAAGTCAGATATTGTTTGTATTAGTTAGTATATAAATACATATTTTACATCATATTATTGAATTTTACACTATACCAGAATATAAAATTCAATTTCTTTTGTCCCTCTCATTCATATTTGCGATCTAATTTTATTCCGCATTACCAGTAAAGCGTACTCTTGTCCATAGGCAGATAAGTAACTCGACTTACTGATCTGTAGGTATCGGCAGCACTCTGTACATATATTAAATATATCAAAATAAAAATTGATATACACATCAATTTTTATTTTTAATAATTAAAATATTATTTGTTTTAGGCAAATAACACTAAACAATATTATATTACAATGATCTAGACCACGGATGGATCTAAAAAAATTATGGACACCTTGAAAGAAACTGAAAAATATATTATCTCCATAACTATTATTCTTTGTGATTACTAACAGATTCTTTGTATGTTTGATAAAATTAAAAAAATCTTTAATATATATATATATATGTACATGAATAAACAAAATTAAGAAAATCTACACTGTTTCTATTCCATTTGTTTTTAAATGTAAATATAAATATAAAAATAAGTCTCTGTTATTTTATAGGTTTTCAAAAATATTAACGTATGTTTATATATTTTATATAAAGGGAACATATTAAACACTCTTTATGAGATTGAGTATTATTCCAAGAGCACAAAGTTGTGAAAAAGTTCTTACATAAAACGTTTGTACAGTTCACGTATTAGAAAATTATCTGACAAAAATAATTAATGTCAATTAAACAACTATTTGTAGTTTTTATAACATTCATATGATTTCGTATTCATTAATCGTTATATGATATTCATTTTAAGATTTTATATCGTCTATAGAATTTTTATTTATGTTAGTTATCTTGTAATACTTATTACAAGTTTTTGAAACTTGTAATGAGTATTTACTTTACTGTTTATTAAATGTACAGTTGTAAATGTCTTTACAACTGTTTATAAATTATAATTATCTTGCGAAATAAATATCATTATTTTTGAAATATGACTCCATATATTTTAGCTCAACTTTTGAGTTATAATATCTATCTGTTTCAGTTTTATCTCGATAAACTATCTTGATAAACAAATATATAAAATGAAGCTCGAAAGAATTTATCAGTGAAAAATATAAAAAAGTCCTTCAGAGCCTACATCAACTTTTCGGATGCACAGAAAACTCTTTATTTCCGTATGAATGTAACAAAACAAATAAAATAAACGTTTTGAATTAAAGAGTTGAATTGAAAGGTCGAAACATTTATTTTATTCGTTTTGTTACATTCATACGAAAATAAAGAGCTTTTTGTGCATCCGAACAGCTGATGTAGGTTCTGATGGATTTTTAAATATTTTTCATTGATAGAGACTATCTTGGTCTCGATTTCGGCCTGATTTTTAAATTCTCGATGTCATCTCGATCTTGAGTCAAGAGTATTAATCGTTAATCTTGAATTGAAAATTTTTTTACGAATTATATTTTTACTACGGACAAATGAATAATAAACGTACATACACGGTATACAGATGATCGATCCGAACCTCGAGCCGCAAAGATTTTGATAAACATTTGTTATTCATCGAAATATTCGCGACTCGAGATTCAGTTCGGTAATATGGAGGTCAATCATATATTTTCACGAAACTTTCCACATTTCATTTTTCATTTTTCACTTTTCATTTTTCACTCATCGAGATTTTATGTAAAACTTTTCATGTATAGCGATTACATATGTGATATTGCGTGGACAACTGAGCAATCCATATAATCTATAACCTATAACAATAGAAAGAAAAATAACGAACGTAACTGTGAAACAAAAAGAAATATTATTAAATTATTTAAAACGCATTCCGAATTAGTGAGGAGTAGAATAGATAGAAAAAACGAGAGTCGATTAAAATTGGTAAATTTAAATATATTATATTATATTATATTTAAATATATTATATTATATGTATTATAGTAAAT